TGAAAATTGTAACAATTTCAACTTTTTTAAGAAAATAATAGAAATATCTATATAAAAACTAGATTTCTAAAAAACCTAGATTTCAATTTTTATTTAATACTTTTTATCTAAAAAAAGAATAAATTGATTATTAAAATATAAATATTTTAAGAAGCTTAATTTAGATAATTTTCAAAATAATCTATATACTAATATAATCAACCTACTTACTAATAAAACATGATATATATAAAAGTATTTATAAAAAATAATATTCTTTTTAATAATTAGTTTTAATTAGAAATTTGAATAGATAGATATTATAATGGCTTTTTTTAGTAATCTTTTAGAAAATGAGTATATTTATATTGAATTGAAATTCTATTGTTTTTTAAAAAGGTTTATATAAAGAATTTAATGAATAAAGATATAATCTATTATTTTCTCAAATTCCTTTATGATTTTAAATAAACACTTAGATTCTAATGTGAAAAGTTATTTAAAGAATTTGTATAATTAGATTATTTTTTAATTGTAATAGATTAATTAAGATTTTTATAAATATAAATCTCAAAAATTAAAAAGTTTTTTTTAAAATATTGTATTTAAATTAGATATTAAAATGTATTAATAATAAATAGAATTTGAGATATATATTATTATTCAAATTAAACTTAATATAATATGTATTAACTCTATAGTAGTAAAGTTAATATTCCGGACAAAGATAAATTCAATATAAATCCCTATACAAATTTCTATTTCGTATGTTACAATATTAATATATATATTTATTAATAATAAATAAAGCTTTTTGTTATTAATATATATATTTATTAATAATGAATAAAGCTTTTTGTTATTAATAAATCAAATTAGTTCTTTTTGTAACCCATTTATTATTGAATTTTAAATAAAAAAAAGAAAATAAGGGCTTTAAGAGATCTTAGGAATTTCGAGATCTTCGAATATTAGAGTTATAGATAAGATGAACGGAAAAGAGCAAGTATACAAACTAAAGGGAAATCAAAAAGATAAACTAAAACTAAAAAGGAGAAAGAAAACAAGTATAAAAACTAAAAAATAAATAAAAAATATTAATTAAATTTTTTTAAAAAAAAGGATTCTTATTTCTTACTATTTATTCTCAATTTATTCTTCAATCAAAAACTTTATTATTATACTATACAATATAGAATATATTGAATAAATAAAAGAACAATCTAATTTGAATATAAATAGATATTTTGATCTGAAAATGATTACTTTAAACTAAAACTTAAAAGCTTTTCAAATTCAAGAATTTCATTAAAACCTTATTAATTAGAATACATTTTATAAAGTATAAAGATTTAGATTAATTATATTAATACTTTAAAAACGATTTATTCAATATATAATAAAGATATTATAGAATTTATAGTAATTATAAAAGAATTACTTTGTTAACCATGGATTCTGTTATTACAGGGTAATTGTTCTATTTCGTTTTCTTGTTAATTTATTATTAGAATATATAATATAGATTAAATATACATTTAGATATTTTAAAGATATAACTAATCTATATAGTATTTTTGATCTAAAAGATAACTTAAATATAGATCTATATGGTTTTACTACTAATAAAAACATAAACAATTCTATAATTTATTACTTTATATCAAAATACTATTTCTTTTTTGGGAAGAAATCTATATTATAATATTTAATTAGATAAATAGTAATAGATTTATTATTTATTGAATCTGAATATTATAGCTTAGTATATATAATATATAAAATATCTTAACTTAAAAACTTAATAAAAAAACTTAATTATACAACCTCAAATGCTTTAATAATTTAAATTTATATCAATAACTAAGAATTCTGAGTTCTATTAATATACTAAGTATATTAATATATATTAATATTATATTCAAAAACAAATAACTAGAAAAGTAATTAAGATTAAATATATATCTATGAAAGATATAACAACTAATAATTTAATTGAAATACTTGAAATAGTTTTATATAAATAATTTATTAAACTTCTTAAGCTTAGAGATTTAGATTTAGAATTAGAAAACTAATTAACAAACTTTAAATTAAAAGTATATTAATATATTTTATAGTTTATTAGCTTAGATTAACTTAATAATTCAGAGTGCTCTCTTAAAGAGACTCTTTTCCATAGTTTTAAAACCCTAGTTATAACAATATAAGTATTACTCTACTTATATATATTCAATAATTATTTTCTTTTTAATTATTTTCTTTTTAATTATTTTCTTTTTAATTATTTTCTTTTTAATTATTTTCTTTTTAATTATTTTCTTCTTAATTATTTTCTTAATTATTTTCTCTCTAGTTACTTTCTTCTTAATCATTTTCTCCCTAGTTACTTTCTCTCTGATCATTAATTATTACAATTAGTATCACCTTAATAATAAGTATTATATATTCATAAAAGATCCAGTTAATTGATTCATATATTATCTATACATTTTAAGTATAGAATCACAAGAGCTATATACAATACGCTTGTAAGCTTGTGAGTACTTACATGTACATATTCATTTGTATTACAATAGTCACAAATTCCACAGAAAAATTGATGGAAAGAAAATAAAATTGGTTCATTCCATTCTCTTCACGCTGCGAGCGTACTGCCTAAGACCTTTCAAATTTCCCTTATAATTCGCAACAAATTTCTCAAAGATCTTGCCAATTTCTAACCCCTTCCCTAATCAACCACACTAGCATCTTTCCCAAAACTCTATGAGAATCAAAAGTAAAATCCCCAAAGCCTCATCAAGTTACCCAATGTTTGAACCTTCTTCTTCTTCTTCTTTACAATAGTGTCAAGCTTTTGAATAGTGCGATTTAAGTTAAGAGTAACGAGAAGAATGTGAATAATCAGAGGCACTAAGCGCCAACTTGAACTTGGAAGCTTCTCTGCTTTATTATTTTTTCAATACAATCATAAAACAACAAATGAGATAACTAAGAAGAACCAGAGATCTCTATCTACCTTTCTTCCGATATTGCTGCAGTCATATAATTGACTTTTCTCGTTTTCTCAGAAGTAGGTTTTGTAAAGCGAGAGGTTGAAGCTTTGTACTCTTTCTTTTCTTCTTCTTCCTACCATTATGGTCAGAATCAGGAATTGATGGGGGTTTACACCAAGCAGGTATCCAATCATTAGTTACACCGGAGAGTCCCTTGGATTGTGGCTCTTGCCTTTGTTCTAATTCAGATTCTAACCTGGCACTCTCATTTACTTTCTCTTTAATCACTTGTTCACCTTTGTATTTGTTGCATTGTTGATGATTTACTGAAGAGATTGCCTCGGATTCATGGTCAATTATTACCGTTGCTAATTTCTTCTTCAAATTCCCCTTGGATTTAATTTCAACTTGTGTTTTTCGCTCTGATGTTGTTCATTGATTTAGGTTTAGTTACTTTCAATCCACAGAAATTTATGAGGAGAAGATTGACAGATAGATAGATCTTGATTTGGCGGATTGCGATAATTGTGATTCGGCGATTTATTTCCTCTCGATAATACTTTAGATCCTACTTGGGAACCCTAACCCCCTTGTCACCGATAATTCTCTCCTAATTTTCCTGTCCATCCATCTTCTCCTCTCTCCAAGAACCTTCATTTCTTCTCCTCACTCTTGTCACCACAATTTCCGTAATGTCATCCCCTTTCCCTATGACCCCTCCCTCTTCTACCCCTTCAACAAAGTTAATTCTCACAGATAACTCTGTCTTATTTGCATAACTCCATTAGTTACCTTTCCAACCGGCCGCATTGCGCTCTTGTTGAATGATTTTGCGTGATGAACTTTGCGGTTATGTCATTCCCTCCGGATGTCAAACGGAAGACAGAAGAGCTGGCCAGAGTTGAGATGAGATAGTCTGTTATGGCGGCTTGATTTGGGTTTGAATCTAAAACAAAAGGCGAAGGCGACTCGATGCTAATATTGAAGATGGAATCCGATAGGAGGACAGAGCCTGCTGTATGGTTCTAAGCAACCAGACAAGGAGGGGAAAAGTAATCATTCTCTTGTGTACGCATATTGTATGGCGTATCAAACGGACATTGTTGTTCGGGATGATATTAGATAATAATGATTAGATTATCTATCTAATCAATGTCTTTGTCTAACCAGAATACTCACTTGCCATTATATATTTATCTCTTACGCACATATCTTTCGGGCGTATCTCTTATATGCATCTTTCAGACACAGACAAAGTCTTGATCGAAGTCAACGCTGTCAAATCAAAGACAAGAATTTCATATATAAATGCATACGAATCAATCTTTCTGGAAATTGTGAAATTCTATAATAAGTATACATGAATATGGTATATTTTTCTTCATTTATTATTCCATCAGCTATTCACTTCGATCTATCCAATTACTAACAAATATTATCTTTAGTCACTTAAGACTTAATTTTGCGCTTATCTCACCTCGATCTGTGGGTGCATTGGATTTGGGGAGTTTTATTCTATGTATAAATGTCTATGTGTAATATTTTACGTTCGAGGCTTAGTGCCGAACGCTGAACATTCAATTCTTAGCGGAAACAAATGACGCTAGGTGAGGAGGGTCCTTAGGTTTCTAACTAGCTTTAATAGGCTTACTAGTGTCATACAGATTGAGTGCTTCAACGGGGCTTTTATGATTGCCATCGCTTGTTAATTCAATCCCTTGGGGGAGAGTGAGTTAGCTGACCTCCACAGTACAAATAAATCCTCCTTTCTTTGATCACTATCCTCTAGTTATTGCAATCTCGATTTTCAGAACGTTTTGTTGATATAATTCAAGTCTAAGGTTTGATTGTGTGAGTGTGAATTGGTGCTCTGACCTCGATATAGCTGATACTAAAAGGCTTCAAATTGATATGATCTGAATACCTACTCATAAGTTTTTAAAAACTGATATCATTTCTACTCACATTTCTGAAAGTCAAGATAAGGAACGGTATTCAAATTGGATTTATACTTCGGGGAAATTTCTATTTCCACGGCGGCTTTTCTCCTTTTTTATTACTTTGGCTTTCCGGTTTCCTCTTCTTCTCCCCCTCGCTCCCCTTTTTTCCATCACTTAGCCCCGTTGCTTTTTTATTACTTTGGCTCTCCGATTTGCTCTTTTCCTCCTCCTTGCCCCCCCTTTTCCAATCACCTAGCCCCCTTGCCTTTTCCCCAATTTTTTCTTCTCCCTCTCCGTGCATCTCCCTATCAATATCCGCAATCATAATACTAATCATAACCACCATAATCATATAAATATCTTCTTTGTCAAAGATACTAAACTGTCCCATACGTTGAATTCTTAAATAATCATCCTCTTCTCCCCCATCGGAAAGAAGTACCTTGTTTTCTTTGTTGCCGATGTACTCAATCCACCTTGTCGTATACCTTGCTAAGATAAATCCTTGGAAGAATCCATATTGATAAAACATGCAATGATAATAATATTTCTTTTTCCTACTTATACATGATTAGCTTATAATACAACGGATGATATACATCAAAGATGTAAAGAGAGAAGAGAGAATAGGAAGCATAGAAACGTAAAGTAAACTTTGGGAAAGTTTTGAATGAATATAGAAGAACAAATGTTCATATTCATATCACTCACGAAGAATCAGCTTCATCTTCATCTCTATCTCTACCCATCCCATGACATTTCTCATAAATAATTGCAGCAAGTTCCGCATCTTCTTGTATAAATATATCTTTTGGCTTAGAGCTAGCTTTGAATTCGGCACAAAGCAACGGCAAGCATGTCATTTTCTCTCTATCGTTGTAACTCCTGTCTCTTTTCACCTTTTGTGGATTTCCCTTCTCGTCCTTCTCGCCCTTGACCTGGTCTTGATTACAATGACTTCTGATGATAGCATCGACGGCTGCATTGAATCCCCAATTGCTCTTGTCGTTAATGTTAATAGAGCCAAATGAAAACTTTTGTTGTATAGGTACCATTCGATACTTCTGGCTGATATGCTTCCAATTCGTATTCGTATATGTACGTGAGACCAAAGAATTTGAGATGAGAGAGGGTCCTGATGTTGAGCTCTTAACGTACTTGCATAAAGCTGTACAGAAATTGCTTGCAAAGTTGTTGATGATTGCTTCACCATCAGTAGCTGTAGTGGAGATTTTCCTTCTCTCTGAGATCGGTATTCCAAATTCCTCTTCCTCTTCCTCTTCACTACCTACATCAGAATGATCTGAATTTAAAAGGGAACGGATGGGCTTGCTTGAGGGTCCTTTCGAAGCTGGTGTAGGTGAAACATTCGATTGATCCTTGAACCGCGTGAAATCTTCATACAAATATGCAACATCCCGATCAGAATTATTTTTCTCATCCTTTTGGATAGTAAATGTGTCCTCTGCCTCTGATCCTGATTTATTTTTTATATCACAACTGTTTAATAACGGTAGCTCAAATATTCCACATTCATCAACTTATTGTCTTTCTGAAATGGATAATTGCAAAGTGGGGGCCTGGAATGATGATGATGAGGAGGAGGAGACCATAAGGTCTACATAACGATGGATTTCGGGATTGATAGGCGCAGGTTTAGATGAGCGTTGGGCTTTCCTTGGTGCTCGTGGTATTTTTGGTGTGTTGTTCGAGGGCGTGGTATGTTTTGGGGTTGAGGTGGTGTTATTTTGCTTGCAGAGGTCAGAGGGTGATAGATCTGGTAATGATTGAGACTTTGCACCACTAGATGCTGAGGATTTTGTAGCTGATTGTTCGGAAGCAAAGGTCTCCGTAACATTGTCGGTTGTCGTTTTTCGTACCAACTTCAACACATTCTCATCATCGATAACCTCATCTAAACTCAATATTACTAGAGCTGCATCCCACGACTTCCTATTTGCATATTCACTTTCAAAGAAAAAATCTCTGATATTGAGAAAGTTGATTTCATCTTGTTTTCGCAATATATGAAGGAAAAGATGGTCATCTTCTCTCATTGTTGAGCCAGACAGACCAAGTTTGTGACTGCGAGGTTGTTGCGGATTCTGATTCTTATAATGACGAGTAGGATAATAATGTTCGCTTGCTTCTGCTTGTTGAAAGAGAGGGGGAGGGTGAGTGGAATGCTGTTGCTGTTGCTGTTGCTGTTGCTGTTGCTGTTGCTGTTGCTGTGGCTGTTGCTGTTGCTGTTGCTGTGGCTGTTGCTGTGGATGTGGTTGTGGCCGTTGCTGTCTTCGATTGCTTAGATGTGAAAGAGTAAAAGTGGGGAGAATTTTTTTGCCTTCTGCAAATTTCTGCCATTCTCTAGGGGTTGATGGAGGAAGTGGAGTTGATAAAGACATATGTTAGGCTTTTGTAATAATCGCATCTAGGTATGCTGGGGCGGTATCGAAGAATGAGCAGTAAAGCTGAGGAATGACTATTGATTTGTTCTGGTTGGGTACCTATCAATAGAAGTTAGACTTGACGTTTGGCATAAGTTTGAGATACAGAACTTTTCATACTGTAACTCCCCTCCTTTCTTTCTCCCCCTCCTTCTCCCTTTATCTATCTCCCTCTCAATGCTCCTTCTCAGAATTTGATTTCAGGATATTCAATCGACACCTCACAATTAGGTAGCAAGAAGTGGGTATACTTATTTAGTTAAGAAGTGGATAACTTAGTTTGCAAGCTAAGGCTGTGGTGAAGTATGGGGTAGTGTGGGGTAGTGGAGTGGACCACTAAACTATAATTTTATTACTTGTGTGGCCAGAAACTTACAACACTCCACTCGAGGCACGTCCCACAATCTGGTAAAATGCAAGGTGATCGGTGTCCTATATTTAGGTGGAGTGTTACCAATCTAGTGGATGAGTGTCTTTAGGGTCTCCAAAAGAGACTCTCGACCTTTCAGATTGGAGTGTTGCATAATTTCTGGTCAGTCGCACAACTACCTTGTATCATCAGCCTTATCAATCAGCCTTGTCGAGTCATCAAGTCTCACCACAAAACATAGCTAGCGTCATCAGCCTCAGGCAAAACAAGGCTGACAAAGTAAACAAATGTTTATTAGGTTCTCGACATCTTCCATCAACATAAATATCCCAGACACAACAACAACATCTCAATCCTCATCTGGACTTTATCTCGACAACATTTGGACAACATCTCGACATATCCCTACTTTGCCAACCTTCTCCTCTGCAGGCTTACTTCTTCTCTTTCATCATCATGGCTCCTTTACCAGACCACAACAAAAAGGACATGTCTCATTTATTCGATTCTCTCTGTGATTCTCTTCTTTTACACAAATCCTATAGAATGAAGCATCTGTCCGAAACGATCTCCTTCCCTTTACATGATCTCGAAACGACAATACCAGTTGTTAGCAAAATGAACTCATTTGATTTTCGACTGGTCGTGGACAGCAGCCCAGCGGACAGTGACCCTAGCTTATCCACCCGACAACCATCTGAGTTGTCGATGCCACAACTACAATCACGATCAAACCCGAACCCAAGACTCGGATCACTACCACCACCCAAGACCAAAACAAAATCAAGGCCCAGATCGCCTCCACAATTACATTCACAACTAAAACCAAAACCAAAACCATCATCGTCATCATCATCATCATCATCTCCATCTCTATCAACGTCAATCTCCTCCTTTGAGAATGATATCGACATTTCCGATACCACTTGCATACCCCCATCATCTAACTCTACTCCTCTTGCCCGTCTTCAATACACCGAAGCATCATCCCAGGTAAAGAATAATCATCACCACCCGAGTTTCTTTCCGCTTGCACAAAAGCATCTCGAGGATTTATACACCAAGTTGAGATGTTATTCCAAGTCTACTCAGACAAGAATCCGAATGTCAAAACTTGACGAAGTCCTCGATTCTCGGAATCGTTCCCCTCATTATTGGACCGAAAATATTGCAAATAACTTTGCATTGACGCATTATACTCTATCAGAAATTCTACCTTTGGTTCGAGATAATTCTTTTCTATCGCAAAAGCGTCAATCATTGTCAACTTGGAAGAGGTGAATTTCTTTCCTTCTCCCCTATGCACAAAAAACAATAAGAGCTAACTTCTCATCTATATAAACAGATTCGAAGAGGAAGTTTTTTATGATACATTACTTTGTAAAGGTAATTCTCAACAAATTGAGAATACTTCGGGCCTTCCAACCTTAAGCAAATGGAAAGTTTTATCCCTACTCGAAAATCCCCAATGTCTTGGTTGTATTGCGTTTGCCGATGTCGACACAGATATGGGAAATGCTACTGCCAATATTGATAATACAAATAAGAATAACATTGATATCTCCTCAACCCTTCTTCGAGTCGAATTATTTTGTCTATTCATATTATTAGCTCGACAAATCGATCCTCGAATGAATTGTGAGAATTATCGTCAATTGATGAGGGATGATGAGAAAGGAAATGGTTGGGTCACAAGATCGGTATGTACTATTTTACCCAAGACTCTTTAATTTGTTCCAAATTTTGAAACATAAATTAACATAGAATCCTAAAGGCTGTGACAATCTTCTTAACAAAAACGCATTTTCGAGTTGTTGAAGCGAGATTGAATGGAGGTACATGGGATCAGACTGCGCCGGTGGAAATACATATGCATATTAGGAAGAGTATTAGATGGGATGAGCTGGATATCAAGGATGAGAAGTATAACGAAGAACTTTGGAGAGAGCTTGTCAGTTGGTCATTCTTGTCAGCGGAGAAATCTAGGGATAATTAATGCAAGTTGATTTGGTTCAATGATACTACCTACCTAATGATTGATTGTGATTAATTATTGGTTGAGAAGTTTACTTGGGTAAAGTGATAGGATGAGTTAGAAAAGAAAGCGGGCAGGTATTTAGGTCGAGAGAGTAGAGAGTTTAGGGATGTATTTGAAGTGGTAGAATTAAATGATTAATGGATGGTGTAGAGGGAAGAATAATGGATGGAAGGGGATGAGAGTGACGGAGTAGATAATGGGTAGGTTGATGATATGGAGGGGCGAGGGATGGGTGAAGTAATGAAAAAGAGAGAACCAGGCGAGAAGCATTCTAATGAACTAGTATTTTTGAAAGACACTACTTGTTGACTATTTCGATAAATTCTGGTTGGCTTTAAGGATGATTAGCCGACACATATCGGGTATAAGCACTTTAAAAAAGTCGACGCTAAAGCCAATCCCAGTCTTTACCCAGAAAAATTGTATCGATTATGCAATTATGTAAGTAATGAATCCACTTCGATCGTTTGTGCCCAGACCTAACAGGTATAAGGGTCTCTTGAAGAGGCTCTCGAATTCTTAAGATTGGATAAGGGGTAATTTGCGTGTATATTAATAGGGCATGAAGCGATGGGATGAAACAACGAGATGAAATACAACATCTACAAGAACCATGTTTGTTATATCCAGAATCATCGGAAGGATCAGTTACATATTCAGATTGTGATAGATTTGACAATCCAAAATGAAGTAGAGGAAAGAGAGAGTGAGGGAGGGGGGTAGACGCCGATATCACCAACTGCACTGGCTTACCTGGTTTTATTCCACTTTATGAATCAGTCGAATCTAATATCCCGACTTCATCCCTTCTCAGCTCCCCAATTACACCATATCCTCTCCATTAGTTTCAATCTCCGAACTCTGTAAAACCATGCCGGCTTATCCCTTTTTCTAAAACCTCTCAATTTCTTCCTACCACTACATTTTACTACAACATCAACATGTTAAAAGATGTGATGCATATATACCATCCTGACAAATACAATGTCACAAACTCACCGTTACAATGAAGAATGTAACATCTATCAGATATCAAGTCGATTATTACTTCTGTTCTATTTGGAATTGCGAATTTGGAAAAAGTCTGGAAGGCAAGGGAATATGATGAGAATAGAGAGGGAGAAATGAGAAGAAGGGAACGTTGGGGTTCTTCCTCTAAGCTACAGCCAGAAAGCTTGTGCTCTTATTTGTTATTCTTAGTGAATTGGGTTTATTAACTAGCTGAAGTGTCACATTTTTCGATAGAAATGATTGACAAGTTAGGAGCCTTGCAAGTTTTTCAAAAGTTTTAGAACTGGAATACAGAAATACTAGATTGTGCAAAGTGAGAAAGTGTCTGAAAGTTGGGGAGAATAATGGAAATTTACCTGGAGAGGCATCTCGAGTTCGTGGTTGTGGCTGCTTCAGGGGACCCTGAGGGTCTGCGGATAGATTTGATAGTAATTGGAAAAGCATTCAAAAAGACAAAAAAAGACAAGAATATCAAATAGATATTTTAGGCATCGAACAGATAGAGGTAGAAGAAAGAGAGAGAGCTGCAGTTAGTTGACTGATTGGTAGGGTGGTTAGATTTCAAAGGAACGGGAAGCTTCACTTATCCGAGCTTTGAATGTGTCAAATAATCAAATAATCATGGTTAATAGAATGGGTAGGGAAGTTGAGAAAATCCCACCTGATGATTGAAACCAACACTGGGGGAGAATGCAGGCCATTCAATTTTTGAAGACAAAAAAGCCCCTTGTGATCATGTTAGCCATCCTAAAGAGCCTCTTCTAAAGAATCACACTCTACCGCCATGTCCAAGCCCAGAGTCTCGTGCATATTTAGAGTTATTGCAGTATTTCCATCTCTACAGTGACTACACAAGTGTGATTGTTTTCTACATTCTTTAGATTGCCTTCTTTTGTCACTCCAACATTTATGGTTATAAGTTGTTCAGACTGTCATGCCGTACTCTGTGGCAAGCATCTTGTAAACCCCTTTTTAGTTGTGGCAGCTGGTGGGTATGTGGAGGCATCTTCGATTTGATAAACTTCGTCAAGTCCAAGTCTGCTTGAGTATGTTAGAGCGGTCTAAAGTAACTTCTTTTTAGCAAAATGTTCCGTGCTCTAGTACGAGTCTAGCTAAAACTCTCCTATTTATTCTTCGGTTTGGATTAGTCATTGCGGAGTTAATTGTAGGATAAGCTCAATGAAAAACTGAGGATCACGGAAAGGCGCTTTGATTAAAAAAGAACTCATTTTAAAACTCGCCGTGCAGAATGAAACGCTGATACAAAAGACATCTTTCGGGCCAGCGAAAATGTACCTACGTATCGGAGTTGTCACTAAATTAGGGCAATGCATGACAGAACCGAAGATTGACTAACGAGAAGGTTAGGCTGTAGAAATAAACAAATATCAATGCAGGAGGCTTGAGCCCCCTGTGGTGGCAGAATTCATGGTTGATGAAGTAATCGTTTCGTTAACCACAATAAAATCTTAGATATTCAATTATATATTGAGAGGATTGTTTTAATAAATTAATATAATTGATTTAAAAATTTATATTTTACAAAGTTTATTCTAATCAATAGGGTTTTACTAAATTTTTTAAATTTAAATTTAAAAAGCTAATTCTAAGTTTTAACTACGAGACCTATATCTGAACTTCGAATAATAGCTTTTTTAAGGTTTAGACATCAGCTTTAATCTAGCTAGGTATTCTAACAAAACCATTCATTGTTTACTCATGTAGGAAACTTTGAGGAGGTACATGCCGTAATTTTTGTCTCACCGCTTTGATTTTACCGTTAATCAAATCATTCTAACCATAAAAATTAATCTCTGACTTCGAGATCGGCGCGACAAGGTATACGCCTCCGTGTCTATAAATGTGAAAGAAAATGTAGGGGGGGGGGAGGTCAAAAGATTAATCTGATCAATGAACGATCTTGAAGGAAGTAGGGAACTTACCTACAACTAATGAATAATCTCTAATAAATTAGGAGAACTAATAGTCGGCTCTTATAAACTAGGAACTAGTCGGCTGTTTATAAGAGTTATCTTATAGGGAATTCCTTGTAGTGGTAAAGTTAATATTCTGAATGAAGATAAATTCAATATAAATCTCTATATAAATTTCTATTTTGTATATTACAATATTAATATATATATTCGTTAATAATAAATAAAGCTCTTTATTATTGATAAATCAAATCGATTCTTTTTGCGATCTGTTTATTATTGAATTTTAATAGAAAAAAAGAAAATAAGGGATCTAAAAAGCCTTAGGAATTTCGAGATCTTTGAATATTAGAATTATAGATAAAATAAACGAAAGGGAGTAAATATATAAATTAGGGGGAGATCAAAGAAATAAATTAAAGCTAAAAAGAAAAGAGGGGGAATAAGTATAGAAGCTAAATAGTAAATAGAAAGTATTAGTTAAAAGTTTAAAGAGAAGTATCCCCATTGCTTATTACTTATTTTCAATTTATTCTTTAATCAAAAGCTTTACTAATATACTATATAATATAGAATATACTGAATAAGCAAAAGAATAATCTAATTTGAATATATATAGATATTTTGATCTGAAAATGATTATTTTAAACTAAAACTTAAAAGCTTTTCAGATTTAAGAATTTCATTAAAACCTTATTAATTAGAATAAATCTTGTAAGGTATAGAGATTTAGATTAATTATATTAATACTTTAAAAACAATTTATTCAATATATAATAAAAGTATTATAGAATTTATAGTAATTACAAAAGAATCACTTCGTTAATTACGGATTCTACCACTACAGGGATTGAGGCAATTTAGGTTGATTCTATATCGGATATTCAATTGTATTACAACTATTATATTCACCTTTTTCATTTTAACTTTAAACTATAATTCCTTAGTCTAAGTATTTAAATCGAATACAAAATTGGATGGCTATAGAGCTCTCTATAATTATAGAATAGATTATTCCTCAAATATTACTCAATAATTATGAAAATTAGAGATTATTCAGAATATATTTAAATAATACTAGGAGTTTAATCAATTATATATATAGATATTCTTTATTACACCTCTTATATAATCATACTCAATGTCATCAGACTAAACTTTAACTAATCTAAATTATTCTGAATTAAGATTTTTAAAATATATTAAATTTGAAGTTCTATAGTAATAACGAGTTCTTTGTATATAAGTTTTATATAATTACTAGAGTATTTGTTAATGTATTCGTTAATATCAATTGGATTAACAGGGGGAAGGAGATATACTCAGATTTAAACTTTAAATCTAAAGAACTTCGGATAATCCCTATATTAGCTTTATATATTCAACTATTTCTTATTTATTTATTAGTCTTAACTATATTATTTCATTTCAGGATATTAAAAACTATAGTTTCTATTTAAATCTGATTAGAAACGGATTTAAAATTCTAAGCGGATGTATAGTAGATATACTAATTGAAGTAGTTATAGATCGGTTCTAAAAACCCCTTATTTTCTATAAGGTAACTATTATATAAACCCAACAAACTCGGAATCTACTTAACCACATTGAGTATAGTTTTAAAGCCTCACCTCACAAAATAAAATGAAAGAGATAATTTCAACGAATTATTATTAAATCAATAATCATTATTTTCCTTGAAATTAGGGATGTTCTTATAATTTAATAATAGAAATAAATTTAAGTTTCCATGGCTTATTAATTAAAATTCTAAAGGATCGATATTAAACAATTTATATATAATAATTATATGAATTATTATATAAACATTACAAAAATGAAAAAGTTGTTAGATTTCAATAAGTTCGATTGAAGAGATTGGCAATATACCAGGTCCAATACGGTGAAGTAGATTCTGAATTTGTCGAGTTTATATGGTATTAGATTCATTCCATCTCCAGCCCAGCCCCAGCCTCAGCCTTATTGTACCCAGTAGCCTCAGTCATAGAGCAT